GACGCCAAACGTGTCTTGGCTGATTGGCTACATTTAAAGTTTTTAGTCATTTTTCGTCAACCTCTTCCTTTAACGAAGAATATGAGAGCATAATAGACTATATTTCTGACTGTTGTGTATTTTGTTCTTCGTAGCGGGTTATAGCCAGTTCACCCATGGCCACTTCAACAACATTAGATGAAAAACAAATCAGCAGCAGACCTCGACCCCACCCTTTTGTCATGCTCCTCTGCAAATGAAGGACAGATATAGAAGGGTGTGTGTGTGTGTGTGTGTGTGAAGGAGGGGTGGGTGTCAACTCAAGCAGGCTTCCATGTAGCTAATTTATTTACAGATTTAATTAGACCGATTGAGCCCTCACAGTTCTAAGAGAGTGAGAGAGGAAGAGAGAGAGAGACACAGAGAGAGGGAGAGAGAGAGAAATGTTGCCAGCGCTACACTACTTTAATTACTCTCTCCTGCTCCAGCTCCCCATTCACCCACGTCTGGGGAAAAGCTTAATTAAAATCCTCATTATTTTACTTTTAATTAGTTCCCCCCTCTTTTGTTTCCTTTCACCATATGGCCGTGTTCCGTGGTCAAATTAACGTAATTGAGCTAATTAAGCCGATCGCCTTAATTATTCAAAGCATTCTGATTGGGAGATGGGAGGCTTTTTTCTTGCCTTCCTACCCCCTCCTCTTCCTCTCTCCTTCTCTGACATTCGCGGCTCGGCTAAGTTCACAGTTGTCAAGTCTGTCTCTCTGACACGTAGGTCCCTGCGCCCCCTCAACGGGAACTTGTCATTACAGTTCACACCCAAGAAGACATGTTCTAGAAAGTTCCTATGTGATGGGGACCTGACAGCGCATGCAGCAGGCACCATCCTCATCCTCCCGGCTGGGTTAAGAGTACGTGGGTTAATATTAGGCTCGGGACGCATGGAAGGGCAGCACTCACTGAGCACTTCATTAAAACCACCTCCTTGCATCTGCACTCCGTCCATTTTATCAGCTCTATTTTACATATTGGAGCACTTTGTAGTTCTATTACAGACTGTAGTCCGTTTCTCTGCATACTTTGTTGGCCCCCTTTCCCCACAGGACCGCCACAGAGCAGGTATTATCTGGGTGGTGGATCATTCTCAGCACTGCAGTAACACTGACGTGGTGGTGGTGTGTTAGTGTGTGTTGTGCTGGTCTGAGTGGATCAGACACAGCAGTGCTGCTGGAGTTTTTAAACACCTCAGTGTCACTGCTGGACTGAGAATAGTCCACCAACCAAAAATATCCAGCCAACATCGTCCTGTGACCACTGCTGACGGACTAGAGGATGACCAACACAAACTGTGCAGCAACAGATGACCTATCGTCTCTGACTTAACATCTGCAAGGTGGACCAACAAGGTAGAAGTGTCGAATAGAGTGGACAGTAAGTGGACACAGCGTTCAAAAACCACCATGTCAGTGTCACTGCAGTACTGAGAATGATCTAAAACCCCTATAATTCCTGCTCTATGGGGGTCCTGTGGGGGTCCTGACCATTGAAAAACATTGACAAACAACAATCATTTAAGGTGAAACTGGAATATTCAAACAAGATGCTGGCAAATAAGAATCTGACTTCAGGTTTGTGTAAGAAGGTGCTAACGTTAATCTATTATGAATATCTACACGGATTAAGGAATGCTATAACTTAGATACGAAGCATTAACCATCATTGTAAATTAATAACTACTACATAAAGTTAAGTAAATTAAATAAGGTTAACATAAAACCAGAGGAAAAACAATCACATCAACATGTTCTTTGTGCATCACCACCCACACGGCCATATCTACACAAACATCACACAAACAATACAAACATGAGCGTGGATCACTGCGTTCCCTCCGTTATATAATCCTATCCCACTTTCTGAGAGCGATATTCTTAAAATAGTGTATTTTGGACAGTATCTTTCTTAAACTGACGCTCTGTAATGGTACTGAATGCAGTCCAGCAGCGATGTTGACCAACCCAAAATGGCGGCGCCGCTGACGTGCCTGGCTGGACCCAAGGCGGCATCTAGGTCTGCATATCTATGGTGTAGAGTTTATGCTGTCATACATGAACTGTTAGCAGAATTAGCCTAGCATGTTAAAAATGCTAAAGGCCACATAAACCATATGAATAGCTGTGGCAAATTTACACAACCCTTACCCCAAATGTCAGTCAGTTAAGACGTATTTCAAAGGTTGCTTCTGTTGGGTCTGAGGCTAATTTAGCTAACAAGTAGTGGAAGCTCACCTAGCTTGAAATTAGCATTGTGCAAACAGCCTGAAGTAGGACCACCAGCCTGAAAAACTAGTTTCCAACCTTACATGTGTGACTTGTCCTGTCAGTTCTGGCAGTCAGTACTGCAGTGCTGCTTTCAGTGGCTCGCAGCAGCGCCAGGTTCAATATAGCTTCAAATAATGAGCCTTTCATTACAGAAAAACCTTCATTTTGAACAGAATGAAACGCTACATGCAGTAAATGCAGTGAAACAAGCTGAAACGGCTGGCTAGCATGTAGTTAAATAGCAAGTATGCTGGCTAGCTAGTGTTATAGCTAATAAAGCTGAACTTTTAGTTTGTTTTAAAGGAATGTGATTTGTAACTAAATCCTTTTCTAGATAAGCTGACAACTTCAGTTAAATGATCTGTTGTGCTAGTTAGCATATTTGCTATCCAAACTACGTTAGCCAACCGTTCATTTTTGAAGTCGTGTTGAACCTGATAGACTTCTTTAGGGGTTTACTTTTGCACATCGCAAGTCCTGCAGCTAATAATGAGTCTAAACTCAAATTCTCCACAACTGGACTTGCCTAAAGCGACTTGTGAACATCGCTGGTTACTGCTCCTGTTAGCTAGAACATCCTTTTGTCCATTTTTAAAGACAATCTCGCCATACAGCGTCAGAGACAGGAAGGGCGATATTTGTGTAAATTAGATTTTTTGCTACTCCTTTACTTTAATAACTGTTTAGGACTGAAGAACATGTTTGCTGTCGATTTGCTTGGGCTCCCATTACGCTGCGTGCTGCCATAAGAGATGCAAAGAGCCTCTTCTCTGCAGTCAGTGTTGAAAACCACTCTTGCCTCTTTTCTTCTTCCATCACGCTCTTCTTTTCTCTTTCACAGCGTGAGGCGTGGAAGCTCAAGCAATTAGACTCATTTGCATGTGTTAATATGATTAATTAGTGAGCATAAACACTTTTTCCATGACAGAAGCCGCACAGCGATCCGTACACCTGCAAAAACTTTTCTTTTTTTCCTTTTTTTTTCTGATCGAGGATAAAGCTTGTCGGCTAAGAGGCTTTCTCTCCCAGACCTGCTAATTGGCATCTGAATATGCCTGGCTAATTAGTAATATGCAGATGAGGCTTGATTGGTTTGAATGCAACGTGCGAGCCGGGGCACGGTGGGACTCGATTTGTGCCGAGGTTTTTATTTCCTTACTTATTGAGATATGAAGATAATAGTAATTGTGATCATTTGCATAAGTTAATGAATTTTCCTGATTGTTTTCAATCGAACGTGGAATAAATAATTGATGGCGTATCAGCACCTTCGCTGACACCGTGGAGAATTTCGTCTATACGCTAAGCGCATTACGAGGCCAGCCATCATTCTTTGCTTAAAACAGCGGCTCACCAGACATACCAGTCTTAATTTAAATTAAAAAATTAAATTCATAAGAAATTAAAGGGTTAAAGGGGAATTGAAATAAAAAGGAAATCCTCCATAATTCAATGATTATGTAAACAATGAATAATTTAGTTAAACTCATTCAGAGGGGTTTGATATGGAATGCTGTTATTGAGGAACTTACACAGTAGTGGTGATAGGAACCAGATGTCGGAAGCTTTTAATGCATCTGTACGCTCCATTATAGGAATATATACACCTGAAATGGTTACCTTAAATGTTTTTTTTCATACTTTTCAGAGAACGTTTTGGCCTGAAATGCATTTTTTAAGAGCTGTTCATTGCAGGGAGGTACATGCAGGGTGTTATAGGGCAAAATAGTCCCCAAAAAAACCCCCCAAAAAAAAACAATTTATTTTCAGATTACCACTATGTAACAGTTATCAACATTACATATAAAAAGTCAAGACATGTAGGTTCACTGGTGGTTCCGGATAGTAAATAAAATCTATATTTGTGTTGTAGACATTGTGACGCTTGGTTCCTAATCACCACCAATGTAAAGAAATCAGAGTTTGTAGTTTCTCTACAACAAACCATCTCTATTTACATCAACAACAAAATTATGGAAAAAAATAATTTTTAAAAAATCAGCACTATTCAGAACTGAACCTTTCAAAAGGACATTATACCCCCAGTCATTGTTACTATTATGACATCTGGCATCTCTCAAGTGATTGACTGCAGAAAACCATCCATTTAGGAAACTGATATGATGAAAAATGTACTCTAGCAACAATAAGAGAACTCTAAAGTTGCTTCACATTTATTGGAGACATTTATTTAATGCAACATTTTGGCATACGAGCTCAAACCCAACTTATTCAAGGGCAGAGGGTTGCTAAGGGAGCTAGGTGGTGGTGCTGGGGGTGGGGGGGCTGTGTTGCGTACTTTAATTGCAACATGGTAAACAGTTAACGCGTGTGATTGTTTTGAAGCAGTGAATCGAAAGCAGCGAGTCCTTCTTAATTAGCTAGGCGGCAGATTAGGCTTTATTAAATTCAAACACAGGATCAGAGCAAAGTTCAGCCTCCCCAGTGCAAAAGCAGCCGCAGATAGCGCACTCAAACACACGTTCGCATGTGCGCGCACACTCACACACTCCACGCTCGCGTTTAATTGCTTCTGTAATGGTCCGAACTCGAGACGGATTCTTTTCCAGTCCTTTGGGTAATCAGTTTTGCACCGGTGAGAGCCAAGCTAATCACTACACAAAACAGCAATAAACATCTGTGTTTTTGGGAGCATTTTTTTAAGGAAAAAAAAAAAGTTTATTCTTGATACGTGAGTGTTTTTTTTAAGCATTTATTGGATTTTACATCTTAAATAAGCGTCACATGTCGACCATATGATTGGACCATAACGCACGGCACCATTATCAAAAGAGTATTTACATCTCTACACCCTGAACAGTGTCCTGAAGCTTTGCTGTGATTATGCTGGCTATGGAAACCACACCCTGAAATGTAAAAAAAGAGAGTTTAAAAGAAAAAGAAAAAAGGAAGAAAAGACACAAGCACTGTAGTACTGCTTAAAGATGAAGTCACTTAGAGTTCCGCTAGTTGACGTGACCGGTAGGATTTCCTGTGATGGATGTTTCAGTTCGGGCGTAATCATCTAAAAAAGTCTGAAATATATGAAGTATCCCACAGAGTCCATCAGACTTTAGACCCTGGCCACAGCAAGTCCTTGCATATTGTCAGGAATTCTGCACTTCCTGTCTTTTCAGAGGGGTTTGTCTTTGGGAGGGGGGGAGGGGCGATGGAGCAAGGCTGTAGGGACCTTTTGACCTTTGAGAGCATAAGTGCACCAGTAGAAGAGCATATACAGAAGATCTGTCAAGGATTCCAAGGCTAGAGATCCTCTGGAGAAACACAGGGATGGAGGGACAGAGGGAGGAGAAGCAGGAGAGGCTTTCAGCAAACCTGCCAACACAAGAGAACAGTTAGAGCATCATGTTCACCCACCAGCAAAACGCCAACAGATTACTGCAAGCTGCTCCATCCAATCAGCATCACAAGTACATGGTGCAATACAAAAGTAATGCAAACATCTAATATAGTTGAAATCCTGACAAATGGAAAGCAAAATAAGCTCAAAAATCAAGTCATATATTGACAAGTACAATAATTAGGGTTGTCATTTAATGCACCTGAATTGAAGGTGATAATTCAACAGCATCTATTTTGGAGTGTTTATCAGATGCAATAATAGTCAATAAAGTATGAGCTGACTGACTGGACAAAATGAAATGAGTGTAGATTCTTAAAAATAACCAGCTGGCGAAACTGTACCAAAATAATTTATTTTGAATTCGTTGTTGACATGCACTGAATTATTTTTGAATTCGAATTACTGCAGTGTCAGATTTACACCTCTATTATATAATACAAAAGATCAAATTTGAAGGGAAATTCCAGTAAGATATTTCCACATTTCAGCACAGTTCATATAAACAAACATGTAAACAAAGCCATTCAGAGTGGTTTGATATGGTTCGATATCAGAGTGGTGAAAACGCTCCGTTCTTAACTTACAGTCAGAAAGGTTTACAACAGAAGTGATAGGAACCAGACGTCTGAAGCTTATAATATCTCTCACACCCTCACAGAAAATGAATGCATGAAATGGTTATAAATACACTGCCTAATACAATGTCAGACATTTTACATAAAATATATATTTTATTTTATAAACCAAACATTTTATATGTATTTTGTATATTATAATTTTTTACATTTATAGAGATAGAGAGGTGCATGCAGGCATAATAGTCCCTAAAAACTGATTCTGTTCATATTTTCCACTATTTTACCATCAACATTACATATACAACCTCAGATGTGTACATTGTGAATAAAATGCCTACATTTGTGTGGTAGACATTGTGACACCTGGTTCCTATCAGCAGCACTGTAAAGAAATCCTAGTCTGTATTTTTCTCCACACTGAACCATCTTTGTTTACATCTCAACGACTAAATTATGCAGACAATTTCTTATCTAGACAATTTCAGTGGTATCAGTGGAGAAAAAAAACAAAGAGCAACTGTACCTTCCAAAGGGACATTATATGGTCAGTCACTGTCACTATTAATACATTTGGCATCTCTTAAGTAATTGGCTATAGAAAACCATCCATTTAGGAACTTGATGTTGTGAAAAAGGTAGTCTAGCCACCCTAAAGAGAACTCTAAAAACTAAGAAGTTGACGATCTGAGTCTGTTAGATTCTCTACAGTGAGCCATTTCACCTCAAACCATGCTGAATAACATTGTTGACATCTCAAAGACTGAAATATGTAGAAATTTTGAAAAATTGATGGAAGTAGAAGTATTGTGGTGTGGGTTCTCACTTTTTGGTCAGGCAGCACAGGGTTGCCTTGCAGGTGAGAGCTGAGCAGGGTGGCCCCCGGCCGATCGTGCTCACAGAAGATGGTTCCGTTAATGTAGTGGAAGCGGTCGCCAGGAACCAGCCGGTTTCTGCACGTCGCACAGGAGAAACACTGGAGAAGGACGAGGTGAAACTTAGCTAGTGCACATTCTCATGTTCTCCCGGTTTTCATTCTTATAAGAGCACTAAAGTAAAAATGAACATTTTACACAAAACAAATGCAAGTGGAGAAATTCTGCAACAAAGCATTCCCTTAAGCCTAAAGTCATCTGTACTTCTAGAAATTGCACACATGTTTATGTTGTAACGAATATACTGGAAACATTTATCAGCGGTTTCTTAGCTCCATTATCAAATGATTCTTCAAGTATAACGCATTTGCTAGTGAAACCACAGGAATCTAGTCATTATATCCTAACGCTTACATTCAGTTCCGTAGAATTACCGCTTAACCTAGGGGCCTTCTGAACAACCGGTCTGGGCAAGAGTTTTTCCCTCAGGCACTTAACAGCTTTTACCTTTAATCAAATGAAATGTACATAATTTCCCCCTTAATACAAACTTAGTCAAATAAGGCAAAACAGTTTGGTGACTGAAGTTTGCTTCTTTAATTCTGCACTGAAGCTCCGAGGCTAATGTAGCCAACAAGAAATGGATAGGAATGGACTGATGACGTAGCAGGAAAGTAAGTCACTTGTTTTCATTCTGTGTGATGAAAAACATTGAGGCAGATGAAAATCATCAATGCTATGTCTGGGCTGACTTGCCCAAAGGGTTCAGTGGATGCAGGTGAAGTGGGCTAGTGGCTTTAGCCCTCATTAAATGGGCCACTACCTGCTCCACGTCTCTGAAATGTGAGCTACGTTTATATGTTGGCAGTAGACGGACGATGGCAAACAAGCTATTCTTTTGTTTTCAGTGGAGCAGCAACGGAAAATCTGCCAACCACCAGCGCCAACGACAGCGTACCACAACGGTCAGTGGAACTTCTGTCAATCGTGGCAATGAAGTTAACTGTATGTTGACTTTTTTGGGAGCCATGGAAGCCAAACATCTTATTGTTGAAGTCCAGGCACACCCAGTTTAATAGAATAAGAAGAAATTTCTTCTTCTTAAGCACAGCTGTTGAATGAGGCCCAATGTTTTTTTCAGTGGCAACATGTAAATGCAGCATAAGGCCTACAAAGAGATGGGCAATATGGTAAACATGTAGTATCACAATACTTTCAGAAGTTTTTACAATACACAATGTCACAATATTTCTCTAATATCTGAGAAGTTGGAAACAGAGAAAGCTATGAATCCAAATATTAAACTGTTTTATGCTCTCTTTTTAAATCAAACGTGATTTCTGCAAAACGTCAGCAGAGACTTCACCCCAAATCTTATTGCCTGTACTGATGGTAATACTCGTATTACTTCATTGCTAAAGACGTAATGCTATCATATTAGCCTCTAACCTTGAGGTGGTAGACGTTGCCCTGCGCCCTCATCACCATCTCACTGGCAGGAATGGACTGACCGCATGCACTGCACGCACCTGTATGCCCGAACAACCTGAAACACACAAACACAGTACGTAAGTTATCTGCAGTGTCTGTCATCACACTCAGGGACCACAACAGGACCCATCTATTTTAAAAAGGCACTAGTGAGATAGTTTACATATAATGAGCACATCATTAGACGTACCAGCCTTATCTTATCAAAAACATATCACAAGTCGGTTTATCGAAAATGCTTTGAAGCTGCATTTCTGTCTTCTGTGCAGGCATTCGAGTCTACATCAGAAGGCACACAGTTTGTGGTGAAGTGCACCCAGCTCATGGAAATGAGACTGATGCAAATCGAAGTAAGAACAGCATGTCAATCAGCACAGACTAGCGCGATACACACAACTTCAGTCAGGCTATTTGCAATGTAAATCAGAAACCCCTTCACAAACAGAGCCTGCGTCCCGTGTCCTTGTGTTAGTTTGCATAGTTTTTTTTAATATATAACTACACTGCTGCCTCAGTGCTGAGGTAAGGAGGAAGGAAGCTCTAATTTGATTCAACTAACAATTTATCCTCATCAGACTCAAACCATGTAGGCTCTCTTGCTTTATCAATAGCTATTATCATGCTTCTTCCTTATGGACAGTGATTGCATGAGTTTATGGCAATGGTTTGTGGTTTTTTTACATTATTACCTTATTATTCCAAATTTAGTCAGTCAGCCAAGATAGTTTTGGTGTCTGAATTTTGCAAAACAAGTAATAGACACATATATGCCACCAATTAGCATTGTGCACACTACATGCCTAAATAGCCAAGTTTGTCTCAAACTTAGTCAAGTTGTTAAAGGTGAATTTCTGCATAATTAAATAGTTAAGATGTAAACAAAGTCACTCAGTGTGGTTTGAGGTGAAATGCTCAATTACAGAGAAACTTATTCAGAATGATTCACGGTGGTGATAGGAACCAGACGTCTAAAGCAGTTAATGCTTCTAAAAGCTTCCTCACAGAAAGTTATTACATGAACTGGTTATTAATACCCTGCCTGATGTCCGAGACATGCTTTTAGACTAAGACTTTGTCAAAAACCTTTATTGGAAACCATTCATGGTATAGAGGCACGTGTAGGTTCACTGGTTGTTTTGGACAGTAATTTGTGTATTTGTGTTGTATTGTATGTATTTGTATAAGTATTTGTGTTGTAGACATTGTGACCTCTGGTTCCCATCACCACCACTGTAAAGAAACCCAGAAGGTTTCTCTTACAGTGCACCATTTCACTTCAAACCACTCTGAATATCTGAATTGTGTGGTATTTTTTAAAACTTGAGTAATCTTAGGCTTATTTATGTGGTTTCATATAATTTGATTTACGGTTATCTGTACTGTAAATCTGATGTTACAGTTAAAAGAGCACAGCCTGTACCCCCTGCTTTGTGTGAGGTCTAGCCTAAGCCCTGGCATCTGACCTGATGTAGTCGGTCCTGCAGAGGATCATGCCCCCTTTGCTGTAGCAGGTGGTGCCGATCTCGCCCAGCTGGGCCTGGCAGCACGAGCACTTCAGACAGCGCGTGTGCCAGTAGCGCTCCATAGAGAAGAGCAGGAAGCGGTCGGAGATTCGCCCTCCGCAGCCTGCGCACGCCCGAGACGAGCACACGCCGCCCGGGACCTGACTGTTCACCATCGCTGCAACACAGAGAACACAAAATCAGCAATAAACCCAGCATAATTATATACAGAACAATAACTGATATAGTAAAGAAATACATCATAGCTTTTGGACAAAAACCTGGTACCACAATGTACAGGGCAGCTGATCTGTTCAAATTAGGTCAAAAAGTAAAGATACAAGGTTTCGTTCCATCAATGATGTAATATAGTGTATAAAAATGGTGCATTTCATAACCAAATGGACTTGACAGCTCACTCTAGTTCAACTCATTAAAAACAAAGACTTCAAGGCAAGACAGACGGTCATCATAGACTTATTTATAAACAAGCTCCAGATCTTATTATTACCAATCATAACCTTCTTTATGAACACAGGAAGAGGCTGAAATTGGGAATTGTTAAGACTGACCCCTACTAAACTATTATAAGCATGTTTATTCTTGCTATATAACACATTTGCATCCATTAGAACATTTAGAAGCTCATTAATGTCAAACCTTCAGATAGGAATAGTCAATAGCTCCAATTCTAGATTAAGGGTGGGTCCTTTGTGGCAAGATATATAACCAAATACAAAGGCCGCAATAATGATAAACACTTGGAAAATAACCATAAATGTGTAGTCGAACTGTACAAGTTTGACATTGTGGTTTTGAAGATGATCAGACAGGCCTACAACAGCAAGCAAAGTGTAAATTTTTTTTTAAACTAAAAACTCGTTACTGCTGCCAGGATGCACAGAAAAATATACTTGAACAATATTTTATGGTACAAAAATTATGTGATTTGCTAGGGGTGCACCGATATGTATGAATTAAGGATCGACATCTGATACTTTTCCAATGAACACACTTTTACTAAAAACACAGTAGCTGGGATGAGATCCAATTGGATTTCCACTGGAGAAATGTAACCTTTATTTCTTAAAAATGCAGTAGGCCAGCATCACCTAAATAATTCTGCTCTTCAAGAGCACAATAACTTTAAATCAAATATCAGTGTGAAATATTGGTTAAATCTAAGCCAAACCCGATGCCGACAACCTTCCTTTGAGCAATTATCTGCAGATAGATATCAATATCGTTCCAATATCATCGTGCATCCCTGGGTTTAGTTTCTTGTATAGATTATGGCACTGACCGATATTAACTTGTCCTTTTACCCTTGAAGGTGATCCAAGAGACAAATGAAACTGCATATTTATCCCATTTTGAGAACTCTTAGAACTGAAGTAAAGGAAATCAGTATAAACAAGATTCTACACCAGATTCGTATTCAGACCTGTGACTTACAATACAATGAAGACATAGTTTCCTAACTGGCAGTTATGCTTGCTGAAGCCTCTATGGACATCAAAACCAGACTCTGCAGTTCAGTCCAGGCAGATAAACAGAGCAGGGCGATAATGCATTTATGTAAGACAGGCAAAAGGGTGGGGAGGGGTTATTAAAATAAACTCTCCAACAAACAATTCAACCCAACCATGTTCAAGAGGCTTGAGAAAAGATTGAAGAAAAAAAGAATGAAACACTTTTATCTGCACCACAAAAGGAAAAAGCTACAGCAGACAACGCAGTTCTTCTCTCATAACACGTGCAAAACCCCAGCAAATCATGAAGCTGAAGTTCTTATTTGTATTTCCCATTCCACCTTAAACTCAGGCGCCAGAGTGTCACTGCGGCACCATTTAAGGTGGAGAGGAAAGTTCAGATAAGAAGCTGGCGAATAGGAAGCCAAACTTCAGCCTCGTCAGCAACTGGTACCAACGTGCATCTGAGACTCGTGTAGATCTTCTCTGTTATTACAGCTTACAAGGCACGACATACCTTATATATTGTATTTATAGTATTATGTGTATACACACACACACACACACACACACACGCACACACACACACACACGTATATATCATTCATAGGTATATTTATAATTGTGAATATATTGTTCATGTTGTTATATATTTCATAGATACATCATATTAAAGCCTGTTATGGCACATTTACACTGTCCGTTTTGCACTATTATTACTATTAATATTACTACTATTTGCACTTCTGGTAGATGCTAACTGCATTTTGTTGCCTTGTACTTGTACTGAGCAATGACAATAAAGTTGAATCTATCCATCCATCCATCCATCCATCCATCCATCTATCTATCTAGCACATTTTATACAAACGTAATTCAATGTGCTTTACGTAAATAAAGGCAAAAGGCAAGAATCAAAAGGAAAGTGCTTAAGAGTGAAAAAATATAAAAATGTGACAGAAAGAATATAATGTGAACATACATAAAGTAGAATAAAAACATAAAAGGGAATAAAAACACTTAAGTGATTTAAGTGTTAAAATGAGCTTAAGGGTAAAGTGCAGTAAGGACACGGTGCAAGTTTTTATAGAAGACCCTTAACTGCCACAATACAATGAAAAGTATAATTTTTTCCATTATTAAGTGAACTGCTATACCATTATTTTGAGATACTAAGCCATTATTTCGATACTCTAGTTTTTATGCTTTTGAGATGAATAAAAGGATCAGATAAGGATTCCCATATCGGTGCACCCCTAACAAAACAGCGTTTTTGTACATGTATTTTTGTAATATTGTTCAAGTATACCTTCCTGTGCACCTTGGCAGCAGTGTAATGAGTATGCATCTCTTTCTCATATTAATGGGATATCAGAATAATGACTTAACCTAGCAAACTCAAAATAATGACTTAGTGTCTCATTAATGGCATAGCAATTCACTTAGTAATGACCAAATAATAATTAGATGCTGGATTTGGTGGCAGGAATGGTCTTCTATAGTTTGTAGAACTCAATCATAGACATATGGACAGATAAATGATTTTAACCTGGATTTAACAACATTTGGAGCACATTACCACTACAGCACCACGTTTACAGTCCGCCGGTTAACATTACAGTTAGTGAAGCTGCTTCTTCGTGTAAACTTGAACGTTATTCGTTTGCTAGTTTAACTTAGTCAACGGTTAGCATGAGTTAAAGAACCAAAACAAGCAGAATAACAAAGCCACTCACCTTTAACTTTATCTAGGTTTGACACGACGTGGTTCCAGTTACTGTCAGTCCGGAGGGAAACACCGCTGGACCTTTTCTTTCTTTCTTTTTCTTTCTTTCCTCAGAAACGCAGCTAACGACGCCCACTTCAACTAGTCAAAGTAACACTAGCACTGCGCTAAGCGTGACGTACGGCGGGCTAAACTGTGCACTGGTTCAGTTAACTGAGTGATACACATCATTAAACAGCATAGCGAAGGCCTGCCTGGGTCTGGACAGCGTTAAATCATAGAACAGCGCCGCTTTTCTCCACAAAATACCGCCAACACGGTTTGTTTTCATCGCTGAGGAACAGCAGCTTCGTTGTGAGCGCAAGAATTTATACGGCTCTGGCGTGACGCAATGGAGTTGTAAACTCGGCAGCCAATGAAAACGCGCGGGGGGCGTGGTTTACGACAGAGCGCTCATTCTTGTACCGAATATGAATAATGCATGAGCCGCTTTCACCATAAACTGCATGTTTTCACAGAAGCTGAACGAGACACACTAAACCCGCTTTCCTGTCTTGTACTGCTTCTTCGCACTTTGCGCCTCTGTAATTCGCCTTATGTGCTTTTTACGCGCCTCCAGGTGCTTGTAAAACTGAATTAGAAGTAGATTTAACCTCTTATTCTCCAGGGTATATTTGGGTTTGTCCATCTGAATTTACATGACCAAATCGTAAGGCAAATTATAATATACATTATAACTGCATGAAATAAATGTACATTTTTATTTTATTTATTTATTTATTTATTTATTTGTAAAAGCTCCCTTCAAATTAACAGAACATGTGTTTTATGATCATACACATATTGCTATATACTTACAATTTAATGCTGAAAGCCAAAAATCTTAGATGCCTATGTATTTTTTTTTATAAAAATATTTTTTACACAATATATCAGTGAAGAGACACCATCTTTTTATAGTTATAGTTTATAGTTTGATATATTCTGTAAAAATTATTTTTATAAAAAAAATACATATATTTATAGAGTTCAGCTTCATCTATTATAAGGGTTTAAAATTACATTACCCATCTATTTGACTGGAAAGAAGACAGTTACAGCTCTCATATGGCACCCACCTTTTGAATGTAGCTTATGAAATATGAAAGTTATGAAGAATATGACGAAGTGCGTTTTGGAACCACCGGTGGTCTCAAGGAGCGCAAAATCAGACCATATTTACACCCTTTACAAAACTTACACTGGGGCTATGGCTCATTGACAGCAGCAGTATTGTAGATGAATTAGTCTTTAGTCAACCTTGAAGCTGCTTTTACATTTGGGGTAACTTGAAAGAAGAAGCCCCCCCAAGTTAAGATGCTCCTCCCCATTTTCTCTCCTGATCAAATCTATTTTCCACACCGAATGGCTATGGTCGAATTAATTCTCATATACACTATATGTACAAAAGTATTGGGACACCCCTCCTAACTCTTGAGTTGAGGTGTTCTGTCCTGCTAGATCTGCCCCGGTCAACTGTAAGTGCTATTATTGTGAAATGGAAGCACCAAAAGAGTAGCAACAGCTTAGGCACAGAGCAGTAGACCACGCAAACTCACAGAGTGGGGTCGTCGAGTGCTGAAGCACACAGTGCCAATCCTCTGTTGAATCTCTCACTTAAGAGTGCCAAACTGCCTCTGGAAGCAACATCAGCAAAAGAACTGCGTAGTAGAAGCGTCACAAAATGGGTTTCATGGCGAGCAGCTACACACAAGCCTAAGATCAAAATGCACAATGCCAAGCATCGGTGGAGTGGTGTATAGCACACCATCACTGGACTCTGGAGCAGTGAAAACGTATTCTGGCAGTCTGATGGACGAGTCTGGGTTTGGAGAATGCCAGAAGAACATTACCTGCCTGACTGCATTGTGTCGAGTGTAAAGTGTGGTGAAGGAGGATAATGATATGGGGTTGTTTTTCAGGGGTTGGTCTAGAACCCTTAGTTCCAGTGAAGGGAAATCTTAATGCTTCAGCAGACCAAGACATTTTGGACAATTCAATGCTTCTAACGTTGTGGGAACAGTTTGTGGAAGAACCTTTTCTGTTCCAGCATGACTGAGCCACAGTGCACAAAGCAAGGTCCATAAAGTCATGGCTGGGTGAGTTTGGTGTACAAGAATTTGACTGGCCCACACAGATCCCTGACCTCAACCCCATCAAACAACTTTTGGATGAACTGGAACAGAGATTATGAGTCAGGCCCCCTCGTCCAACATCAGTTTCTGACCTCACAAATGCTCTTCTGGGTAAATGGGCAAATGTGCCCACAGACACACTCCAAAATCTTGTAGAAAGCTTCCCAGAAGAGTGGAAGCTGTTTCAGCTGCAAAGGGGGACCAACTCCATATTAATACCCATGGAATTAGAATGAGATGTCATGAAAGCTCCTGTGGGTGTAATGTGTAGCTGTCCCAATACTTTTGTCCATATAGTGTACCTCTGAATAAATCCATTTCTGGGATTTATGCCACTGGAAACTCTCAAGTTGTGCAAGAAAAAACAGTTGATATAAATATTTGATTTAGTTTTAATGGGAAGTCCCCCCAGACAGGGGCCAAAAGCCCCCCTTTAATTGTCCCCCCAGATAGAGATATTGATGTAGAGTATGGCTCAATGACACTACCACTGTTGTAAAACCTTAGCCTTCTATCCTAAATGAACCTTTAGTCAGGTTCCCTACAGATGTTTTTAGACATACATTTTTGCAACAAAACTTTTGTTGCTTCCAGATTGCGCCACTAGGGTGCAGCACAGCTTCACTGCACTTTGGCTATATGTCTGCCCTGCTCATGCCTTAGAAGCTGGGGAGCCCAGCTTGGGGTGGATTTAGTGATTCTGAGGTGCTTTGCATAAGTCAGGAATGAGGCCTCCTGAATGCATATTTTTAAATTAGCTGAGGCCTTGGGCAAGTAAAGTGGTCTTAAATCTAGACAGTATATCTAATATTTTTCATTCTGAGTTTGATTGATTCACAGGGCCCATATCTTACATAATTCATTTTTACATGATCATTTTCCATCCTGTCTTAATCCTTTAGAATTAAACAGGCTGTTTTTGTCACTGTGTCTTTACGACTCTCGTGTCGACCAGCTCTGTTCTGATTCGACTGTATGAACTGGGAAGCAAGAGTAAAGTCTGAAATTATACCAATATAAAAGCAAGTAAAATGTGCTTTTTTATGATGTGGGGCCTGTAACTGGACAATTGTAAACTCATTTTAAGCAATTAAATTAGTAAAATTATGTCACTACAATAGCAGATCGTTTTGCTTGTTTTAATTAATACACTTGAGTCAAGCAAAATGATCCCTTTCCACTTTCCACTTAATGAGATTAAGTAAGTAATTGAATAGATTTTAGTAAAGAATTGTCACAAATGACAGTTATTGTATATATATATATATATATATATATATATATATATATATATATATATATATATATATACTGAACTTCACAGGAGAGAGAAAAAACAATGGAAGTCAATGGAACCGGATTTTTTTCCAAGTAATTTTGGGCTGTTTCGTTTGGTCCATTCATCATGAAACTAACACACATTGTAAAGGACAGCAGGGATTTTCAGATTTCAAAAACTGAAAAACGACAAAAATGGAGATATGAGTGTTCCGACAGCAGCGATACAGATAGATAGATAGATAAATAGATAGATAGATAGTATTTCTAATTTGTATTTTTGAGCTCAGCTTTGGAGGGTTGGTTTCTCTATCTCCCTCCGTCTCTCTCTCCCTCCGTCTCTCTCTCTCTCTCTCTCTCTCTCTCTCTCTCTCTCTTTCTCCTTTTCTTTCTACCTCTAGCTCTTTGTCTGTCTCTGTTTATTTCTCTCTCCTCTGCCTAGAAGTCCAGAGAGGCCATGAACTGTTGCTATTATTTTCTGGATTGTTATCTTGAGATAATGAGTTAATTGTCTTGTGTTCTCAAGAAAACAACTTCGTTATCTTGAGATCACAACATAATGAAATCATTATCCCAAGACAACAACTTTGTGATCTTGAGGTCACAAAATAATTAACTCATAATTTCAAGATATCAACTTAGTTATCTTGAGATAACAAGATAATTAACATGTTATCTTAAGATAACAATCTAGAAAATTATAACTCTAATATAATATCTCATGACCTCTCCAGACTTCCATACATTACAGAGAAATAGCACATTTATATGTTGAGGGTTACAAATACAGTAAAATGAGTAAAATTATGTGACATTTCAGCATCACCTAAACATTCAGCTCTTCTGGAGTTCAACAAATACATCATCAAATGTAGGCCTGAAATGTTGGTCCAATCTAAACACCTGCAGATACCAGTGTGATTCAGATCTCATCATGTTTTTGTAAAAAATCAAAGAAATAATTTTGACTCATTGAGGATCTGACGAAACCAACACACCCCTGAAATAGTTCAAATGGAATTCAAGTGTGTTTGATCAGAACACCTGTCCAGAATTTATGATGACGGCACCTCTGCTCCGGTCAGATATCCTCTACAGAATGTAGGTCAGTCAACAATCAGGCTGAATCTGGAGCAGTGTGGACAGAACATCGTCAGTCCAGTATCACACCCCAGAGTGATTCACACACAGAGCTGGAAGATGTGCATGACGGACATCAGCCCACAGTTCCATTATGGTTCTTCAGTAGATGATTCAATGCATTATGTAATCTGAAATTTGACTACAGTTCAATAACAATTATAAAGAATACACAAATATGTAACAGGCTGTCTTTAGCTTGAAAATAGCCTAAGATTTGCCAAATAATGAGCACGTTCTGTATAGAAAATCATTAGAATTGATTATAATGGATATATTGCACCAAAAGGGTTCTTCTGTTGTCACAAGCTTGACATCATAATAATAGAAGAACCCTTTTTGGTGCTATGCAGAACCATTTCCAAAAAGATTCTACATAGAACCATATATACTCTTTAAAAAGATGGTTCTTCAAGGGTTCTTTAGTGAAGGGAATGGTTCTGTTCAGAACCATGAGTTCTATCTAGAACCATTTCATGCTTAAATTGTTCTTTGCATGGTAAAATGGTTCTAAATGGAGAATGTGTTGTATACACTTAGGATGGTTCTTCAAGTGTTCTTTAGTAAAGATAATAGTTCTATGTAGAACCATGAACAATCAAAGAACCCTTTGCAGGATTAAAGGGTTCTTTGTATTGTGAAAGGGTTTTTCAGAATGAAGGAGAATTTGTTGTATATGGCGCTTGGTAGGTTGACTCGTGCTGCTCCTCCAAAGCGTCCCATTCTATTGGTCACTGCTCTGTGAGGGTGCAATGGAACTCTTTCAGCAACTGATGCACCTTAAAGTAGCTGAATTCACTAATTAAAATGCCTGTCTGGATACTTTCGGACACTTCTGCTTCCAGCCCACTGACTGATGCTTGCTATCGTCAAGGAAACCATGTGAAGTTTGCAGTAACTCTGAGGGCGGCCGCTGGGATACTCTTCCTCAGCAAACATGCAGGACCTTTAGGCTCCCAGAGGCCGCAGACCACTCAGAGTAAATACAGCAGAACTAGCTGTGCTTTACATCACGCGTGACGCTAGAGAGGATTGCATGGCTGTGGTCATGGCGACAGCTTTATGCAGTGTCCAAGGCGATGGTGGCCAACTCTTGCAAATGGTTTGACGTTGTGTGAATGATGTGGAGATCCACTGATCACAAAGGCCTGTCATGGACAACTTTCTTGAACCTCTTGTATGAAAAGATGAGCTTAAGTAGTATTTTGGAAGATTTGGCCTTTGTTCAAATACAGGGTGATTCAAAAAGATTCATCTGATTTCAAAATGATTTATTTCACATTTTAAATCATTACAGAACAATGCAGTAAACTGTAAATGGTTTAATTGAGCAAATCGGATGAATCCTTTTGGATCACCCTGTATTATTGAAATTGAATATTTGTATTCAATTACATTTTCAAGAAAAAAGCATATTTTTTACTACATACATTTTCATTTAGACCTTCAAAGTAGTCGTTACAATTTTCAAAAGCCAAGAAATTTTTTCTTTTTCTCTTGCCGAGCATTTGAATTCATGACTTTTATTAAATCGTCCAACCAAATTCATCTCAGTGTAAAATGAAACTGCTCATGACTGTGCTAACCACCCACACACCACAACTATGTAAGATATGTGTGTTAAAATTGAAAGAAGTAGCATTACTGAGTCAGAAAATTAAAAACATGCTAAAATATGATGAGTGTGCACTGCTGCAACTTTTCCGTGTAATTCCCAAAATAGTTATTTAAAAGTCAAAGGGGTCAGGTCGGACTTGGCGGCAGTTCTTCAGACCACATCATATGTCTTTATGTATAAAAGTCACACATACAGACTCAAAAAGAAGGTCTCAAATGCAAAAACAACATTATACCGATGAAGATATGATGACAGTAGTCGATAATTCACTTACATCCTCGGAAAACACATCCGTCACCAAGTTTTGACTGAGTTCTTATTGAATTCTCTTTCTTTCTCTTTTTGTCCAAAGCACAACCCATGTTACGATGCATGCAATTACACACTTCTGCCATAGGGGTCTCCAAATCCCCAAAACTTATGTAGTGCAGCTTTAAAACATGTACTTTTTCTTAAATGTAGAGTTTTTTCTTTAATTCAAGTGTATGTTTGCCTTCATAATTCTACTTATATGAGTAATTTGACAAAATATTCATACTGTTACTTAAATACAATGCCCCATACTAGTCTATACTGGTCTATACTAATCTATACATCTCTATATTGGTCTATACTAGTCTATACTGGTCTATACTGGTCTATACTACTCTTTACTAGTATATACTGGTCTATACTAGTCTATACTGGTCTATACTGGTCTATACTACTCTATACTAGTATATACTAGTCTATACTGGTCTATACTGGTCTATACTAGTCCATACTGGTCCATACAAGTCAATACTAGTCAATACTAGTCCATACTGGTCCATATTAGTCTGTACTGGTCAATACCAGTCTATACTGGTCTATACTTTTCTATACTAGTCTAGACTGGTCTATACTGTGGTTGGTTTGTGTACTGTGTGTGTGTGTGTGTGTGTGTGTGTGTGCAGCACAAGAAGATGGGTTAGTTGTGGGAAGCAGGAGAGCTGTAGAGGTGTATATGGAATTTATGAGGAGTGTGTGATGTTTGCACTGTGGGTTGTATTGTGTGCAGAGAGAAAGGAAGAAAAAGACAGAATCTGGCTTTGGAATTACACAAAAAATGGGTCTATCTGTCTATCTATCTATCTATCTATCTATCTATCTATTACTGCCTATGTTTGTACAGTAATGTGTAAAAGTCAGAACATTTATTTACTTATTTCCCATGAAAAAGGCATTAAATACAAGTTATTCATTTTAGGAGATATTTCTGAAGAGATTAGATATTAGATAATCTACTCGCATAAAGAAGGAAAAAGTCCAAAAAAAAAGTAAAAACAGGAGTTTCCAAAACTGGAGTTCAAAAAATGATTAAAAAAAAAGACACAGAGAAAATGTCACTCTGACAACCCTAACAACCACCTGGAACACCTGATAGACCCTTAAAACTGTCCCCATCAGATAAACAGCACTTAAAGCTTCATCTTTGAGAGAGAGGAGAAAATCAAGCTGCTTCAGATCTGAAAACATCCACAGTGTTTCTGTCCATCCTTCCACTGTGAGAAGACAACTCAGCACTATGGCCCTGAAAGGATGTGTAATAAAGAAGCTGCTGGTGTTCTCAGAACAATGGACTGACCAACCTAGAGTCCAGACCTCAACATCACTGAATATATTTATTTGATTGAAATAAGCTAAAAATGCAACCCACTTGAACTGAACTCTGGAGGTGTGGAATAATATCCCTGCAGATTTGTTTGAGAAACTGAAAGTGAGTCTCCTGATAAGAATGGAAGCTGTAATAAAGGCAAAGAGTGGACACTATAAATACTGAAAAAACGAGTCGTTGCAACTTCTGTGTAATTTTCTGCTTTTTTTCCTGATGCTGATAAATAAACAGCTTATATATATATATATATATATATATATATATATATATATATATATATATATATATATATATATATACATGTGTGTGTGTGTGTCTACCAGACAAAATAAAACAAAGAAACACATTTCATTTAAAGTTTATATACTCTATTTGACTTTAACATGGAAGGTCAAACTCTTCCATTGCAGACACTGTAAATACACAAACACTATTCACTCCTGTACAAGAGAGCATCTGAGAACATAAAGTACGCCCCGAAAAATGGAGCAATCTCTAAAAAAACAGTGGCCACTCCACCGATGGTGAAGCCTGTATAATACACAACGCAAAAAGCTTATTGGTTATACATACAATCTAATACAGTCTCCTTCATACACACCACTCATTCATCAACATTACAGGGTCTTTTCTGCCTTTGTTTTTTTGCTAATACATAAAAACACTTAGAAGACTCACAAGAAGACTTCTGTAGTCTGGAAATAAAGCTACAGCTCAGCACAACAGAGAATGGACAGACGATACATTAGTATAATGCCACAATGTCTCTCTCATGGTATCCGTCTTGGTGAATCCACCACGTCCAGAAAGTTTCAGATGGAGGTCTAAATCGTCTCTGCAGGTGAGTCCAGGCCCTGCAGCAGTCTCAGTTCAATGGTTACAGAAAACTAGTGCCTTTTTATTCTTACCTACCGACTATGATAGGAAGTCACTGTTTAAGAAGGAAAAGAATGCTTTCTCTGTATATGCATATGCACATAATGACATACAGTCATATTCAAAAGTTTGATCACCCCATGTTTTATAAGTGAAAATAAGTCCTGTACACACATCCTGCACGGAGAACACACATCAATATGGCATTTTTCTGCATTTTTTAGTGCACAGTTTCTACTTATTTGCCTAGTTTAACATATTGGAAAAAAATAATACATAAAAAAATATATATATATGGACAATTTCACCAAATTAGCTCAAACTGCAGACCCACAATAAACAAATTTAATATTAAGACCTTAATATACCCCTACATTTTAGAGCAGGAAATGAGACTGCATCCCTGTCCTTCATGGCCACATGGTGAGCAGTTAGATCCCATTGTTTTAAAGTAAATGTGTCCTAAAGTCTGAAAATCAGTGTGAAACATTAATAATTAAGAATTGTCACTATCAAAACACATATTTTCTGCAATTAAGTAAAGTTTTTTGTATTTTAAATATCATATATCAAAAATATCAGAATTTTATGTGTGTGCAACTGTTCAAATCTGTGTTTGCTGGTCATGTACTGGCTAGCGTTTTTGGGTTCTGCTCAAAATTTGCTAAAATTGTCAGGTTTCAGTAGTGTGCTGACTGACAGTGACAAATTTGGTATGATTTGTTAGTGACATCGTGAACATTTCATCATTTGTTTAAATAAAATAAACAGAATTAAAGTATAAGGTCACTCAAAGCAAAAGGATTTTAGTCTAAATCAATTAAAAGCCCAAAATGTGTTTTTTTCTGAATTAGAATGATTCATCTGAGCCATGTTTTAATTTAATTGTGCACTAAAATGTGCAGAAGTGTGTTCTCTGTAGAGCACATGTGTCAGGCTCCAGTCCTCGCAGGCCAAAACACTGCAGACTTCAGCACACTGCTTCCTTTAAACACACCTGATTCAGCTCATCGGCTAATTAAGGCCTTCATGAACTAAATTAAGAGCGTTAAATGAAGGTGAACACTAATCTCTTGCCTGGAAGGTCCCCAATTCAACATGCCAGCTGTGTTAATTTAGTTTCACTAAAAAAATCAACAAAACGTCATTTGACCAGAGGTGCTGAAACTCTTGCATATAAATGTCCCGCATTATAAAACCCATAAAACTCCCACATACAAGGACAACACACACTTATACATAGTTATAATCTAAACAATAATAGTGATCACTTTATATTAATTTCAATAATGGTTCATTTTTGGTGTTACTATAAAAATACAAGAACTCATCAATATGATATAATAATATTGAACAACATGATAATTCTGGTCACTGATGTGTGAGTGTGAAATTTTCATCCCATCCCATCCCTAATTACAGGAAAGTAGTCTGGAATGGAAAATAAATAAGGCAAAATCTAACTGTGGTAATGCCGAGCATGCATCCCATAGTTCAGGCTTTTTCGATGGATTTAGCATCCAGACGTCCAATAGTTCAAGCTGGTCACAAGATCTGGACACAGTCAGCAAAAAGCAGCTCTCAGACACTCTTCAGTGGACACAGGCCGAGCTGAGAACTGATCCCGGGATGGCTGAAGTCAAACAGGACAGGATGACCTCTTTGTAAGGTGGCGGTGAAAAGTGCAAAGGTTTATGGAGATGGCGTGGAATCTTCAGAGTCTTGAACCAGGGGAGTCAGAGTGTGTCTCCAGTCCTGCTGACCACTCAACTCTGACCACTGTTCATTTTAAACAAGGGAGTACACATGATTTAGCATGTGTGAAAGCTAGAGTTTAGCAAGCAAATAGCGAAAATTTACAGTCCCCCCCCCCTTAGCCCAAACGTAGTCAATCAGCCTAGACATGTTTGTTAGCTTCAGTTTTGCACCAGAGCTTTTCAGCTAATGTAGCTAACTAATTGAACACACATTCTAGCTAAAAAGAGTAGTAGACGCTTATATTTTGACCATTCTGTCCATTTTTATACATAACAGAATGTCATACAGTGTCAGGATCGACACAAACAAGTCTTGAAGTGTCACTCTGGCCAGTTTGAAAGATTTCACCATTGCTACATCTGCTGTAAAGATGCCTATTTGCCGTATACCACTGTGCTGCAGTCATCTCTAGTGGGAGATTTTACAGTTAAAACCCCCCTCTGATGATGTATATTGAAGGTGGGAGGAACTTTTGAAAAACTATAAGCAATTTTAGTTTTAAAGGCAGCCTCCTTTTAGCCTCCATATCAGTGCTTTTTTATCATAATTGGGTTATTCCCATTGGTCGTATGATGTATTTCTGCAATGCATGCTGGATATTATAGTGAGAGAAATTTATTCAGTAATTACAGTGACTTCAGTGCAAACTGGCTGAGCTATTCTTAAGTTATAGAAGTGTGAAATAAAACTCTGGGCCCACTGGTGGGCCCTGGCCTTTTAAGGGGTTAATGGACGGCAACACAGAAAGGAGACAAAACTGTGAGTTCTGTCAAGCCAATGAGGCTGAGGGATGCAGTGCTGCACTACAGAATATTTAATAACACAAACAACATATTAAATGCAAGTTTTAGGCCTAAACGCCCCTTTAACAACTCAATGCGGTTTGAGGCATGTGTGTGATGATTTAGGCAGCAGTTTGCAGTTTGTTTGATGCAAACTAGCAGAGTATAAGCTAAGCTTCCATTACTTGTTAGCTACATTAGCCTTATAGCTCCAGTGCAAAACTAAAGAAGCAAACCCCCAAAAATGATTGATTACATTGGGTAAAGGGAAACTTGCGTAAATTCCAGTTTTCCTCTGTTTGATCAGGGTGAGAAGGTATGTATGTCGTTGTGCAGGCTGACCGCAGGAGCGGAGCTGTCTCTGTCCACGCTGCAGTAGCTCTTGCTGCAGCGGCAGCGCTGGATCCACATGACGCTGCGTGTGAGGCTCTCTCCGTCGGGGCAGTGAAAGCGTAGGTGGACCGTTCGGGTCTGTGATGGCCTGCAGCACCGGCCATCCGCACAAGAGCCACACGTCCGCTGCAGGAGGCGCTCGACCGTACTGCAGCCCGCAAAAGTGATGTGCTCAGGCTCTCGGGACTTCACTGTCCGTTTGCATTTCTTGCCTTTCTGTAAAAGACAAACAGGAATCATTTATGAGTTATATAGTATATGTATATCACAGTCTTTAAGTGGCATATAGATTTAACATGGGGGTCCTGACCACTGAAGAACAGGGTAAAAGGGGGCTGACAAAGTATACAGAGTAACTGATGGACTACAGTCTGTAATTGTAGAACTACAAAGTGCTCCTATATGGTAAGTGGAGCTGATAAAATGGACCATGCGTAGAAACTAGAAGGTGTTCCTAATAAAGTGCTTGGTATGTGTACATATATCGGCCACAATTAGAAGCCCTTACAGTAGTTCCACCTTTGCTGGTGTACATTGGGAGACTGCAGTCCATCTGTTGCCATGCCATCATAACTAAGGCTGCAACGATACATTTGCTTCCTGACAGCCATGAACAGCACAATGTTTAATCATTTTCTGCACATATTTCACTGCAATAACACTGCTAGAGACTGACCACAGTAACAACACTCTGTACCACTTCAGCTTGAGCAGGCTAAACTGATGCAGGCTGAACAGACAGCCTTAACTGACATCACAACCATGATATATTTAAAGTGCACAGTTTTTGCAACTAAATATCTATATATAGACATATAACTGGTGATTGAATGGTATGTTTTGATATTGGTCCTTTAAACTACAGTGGATTGATGCTCTTGTTTTTTGGATCCGCTGCTCCCAGCCTTACCCTGACATTTGGGGTGATGTCACACTCTCGAATCTGGCACAGACGCGTCTCTCGGACGAGTTTGCACTGCGGGTTTCCATTGGTCACACGGCTGGAGATTCCAAAGCCGCAGGAGGCGGAGCACTGGGTCCACTTTGTGGTCTGTGGGAAGCACTTGGAGGAAGGGATGGGCACTTGAGATACGGGCAGTGATGCCCACTCTGCACAGAACAGAAGCACACAGAGCCAGGATAAGCATCATGGCCAATGAGAGTAATGCACGCTAAGCATCTGCAAAACAGATTTCAGCAGAGATTCTTACTATGGTGGTGATCTTAAAATGTTAAAAATACAGGAAACCTATAGAACAGTGCTGCCTAAAATGTGGCCCCTGGACCAAAGTTAGCCCATCAGGATGTTTGATGTGGCATAATAGAAAGTTGCACTTCTTATTTTCCTTTTATATTGTATTTTTGAAGTAGTTTGGTCACACAATGTAGTTTAATGTCATGAAATACACTTTAAAAACTTTATTTGTGTATTATTTTGTCTTTTTGGCCCTCAGCCCACCACAGACATTGCACATTGGCCCCACAAGACAAAACATTCAAGCACCCCTGCTATAGAGTGCAACTATGGTTCATTATATCAACCCATACAGCCATTGGCCACTTCATTCATTGCAGTGTTACAAGAGGTTAGCATAAACCTCACTGGCCACTTTATCAGAGATCGTGTACTTAGTAGCCATACAAATCCACTAATGCAAGAATGAATCAAATTTTAAAGGGCCATATTCTACGTTACTCCCCAGATGTCCACTTACAATGACCATTTCCCATCCTCTCTTTATCCCAACAAGCTGTTTTTGTGATTTTAAGATGGATAGTTATGAAGATACATTTGCTGCCCGACAGGCAGCAACAGCACAACATTTAATCATCTTCCCCACATCTTCCACTCTAATACCTCACTCAATGCTACAAACTGTCTGCAGTGACAGCACACCATATCACCTCAGTGTGAACAGGCAGCTAAACTGCTATAAGCTGAATGGTCTTGAGTAAATGTGTTTGTGGTTGTGATATCACAACCATGATAGATATAAAACCTCACATGTTTGCAGTATAGTTTCCATATGTGGATTGCATGGACTGGGCAGTGAATAGGATGTTTTAAAATGTTTACATAATCGATAACATTTTTCTATTGAAACAAAATCAGTAAAAATTGAGTAAAAACACACTTTTCATAGTACAGTAGTGACTGAAATAAACTCACCTTGGAAGCCTTCTCCTCTGCCCTGGTGGCCACTGGGTGTCTGCAGCAGTTTACTGATGTGGTTGGTGTGGAGTTGTGAGTGTTGGGTATCGTGGGGGTCTTCGCTGATGCGGTTGTCATCGTCACACACCCATTCCTGACAGCAGCGTCCAGGCGGGGTGTGAAGGCGTGGGTTGGCACAGTGCCCAGCAGGTAGGGGCAGGTGGTGGGGACAGAGGGGCATGCAGCCCACTACACCATCCATACAGCTGCACTGGTGCTCACAGCTGGGCTGGAAGTCCTCACCATGTTGAAACACGCGGCCGCCGAACTCACACGGACGACCCTGGGCATCAGCTGAGAAGGGAGCACACATGGACAAGTTTGGTTTATACAGTTATCACTGATAGCTCCCACATGCATTATGTAAGTAAGTACCTATATGTAATAATATATGCCACATATGTTACAATATGGTACATATGTTATAATGACTTATCCCACATGAATTGTGCATATATGAAAGAGCTGTTTTGGGGTTTTGTTACTATAGCGACAATTTGTGAATATAATAATAGTAATAAACTATATGGACAAAATATTGGGACACCCACACATTAGACCAACAGGAGCTTTCACGACATCCCATTCTAAATCCATAGACATTAATATGGAGTTGGTCCCCGCTTTGCAGCTATAACAGCTTCCACACTTCTGGGAAGCTTTCTACAAGATTTTGGAGTGTCATAGGATGCCACCTCTGCCACAAGTCAGTTTGTGAAATTTCTGTCCTGCTAGATCTGCCCCGGTCAACTGTAAGGGCTATTATTGTGAAATGGAAGCGTCTAGGAGCAACAACAGCTTAGCCATGAATCGGTAGACCACGCAAACTCACAGAGTGGGGCTGCCAAGTGCCAATCCTCTGTTCAATCACTCACTAAAGAGTTCCAGACTGCCTCTGGAAGCAACATCAGCAAAAGAACTGTGCATCACTCTGTGAGTTTGCGTGATCTACTACTTCGTGGCTGAGCTATTGTTGCTCCTAGGTGCTTCCATTTCACAATAATAGCACAGTTGACAGGGGCAGATCTAGCAGGACAGAAATTTCACAATTGTCATATTTAAAGTCACTGAGCTCATTAATACGACCCATTCTACTGTGAGACTGTAAGATTATGTGCTTAATTTTATCCACCTGTTAGCAATGGGTGTGGCTGAAACACCTGAATTCAATGATTAGGAAGTGTGTCCCAATACTTATGTACATAGAGTGTATGTCCCATATTTATTACATTTATGTGTGCAATATGTGATCGTACTACCTCTGTATAATATTATATAATGTATCTATATGTAAAAAGCCTCATCTTAAATCTAACCTGATCTTAATCCTAAGTGACCAAAAGGAAATGGCTTTGAGTTTTAAATAAAAAGAAACATGAAACAGCATGTTGGTGACATCCCTGCTTTCTGATTGAACTCAGCAGTTAGTAAGCAGGCTTAGTAGGTGATTAAGTAGAGAAAATACTGAACTGCCATCCAGGACCCCTAATATAGGGCTCGGGGGGTGCACATACAAAAAATACTCAAAATACACTTAGTTCGGCAAATACTGGACTGACACTTTCAGAATCATTCAGGATTGATAAAACAGTGTCAATTTAGCAATATTACAATCAATTATAATCAATTATACACACACATTTCATCTAAACTGCTTATTCTCCTGGGTCATGGGGGGTGCTGGAGCCTATCCCAGCACTAATTGAGTGGAGAACAGGAAACACCTTGGACAGGTTAATCAATTATAATATAAGATGATTATAATGAAGCATAGGCTCATGTTTTGATCATAATAAAATTCTTTGAATGTAAAAAAAGGCTGATGTATTGTTTTTATTGTCCAGTCTATGACTTGTCTACTCCACTACCGAGTAAACAGCACCTCCAGTCATATTTGTGTACAGAACTGTGTAAAAAATAATTCCAACATAATCGAACCAAAATGAATCCTAAAGAATTGATTCAATCGAATCATTCTTAAGTCAGAGATTTACACCGTTAAATCCATGCACTGCCCATCCTCACCTCTGCACAGGCCACGCTGCGGGTCTCCTCCGGCCCCTAGGTGGCAGCGCAGGCCCTTGATGTGGTCGCAGGGTTTGTCTGGGCCGCAGTCCTGGTTAAACTGCTGCGCACACACCTTACAACAGTCGCACTCATCCAGCACCCAGCTCACTCCCAGCGGACAGGAAGGAGGAGACGGGGGGCAGGAACACGGCCCGGAACAGCCACCCGCCACCTGGAAAACCACAGCAGGGGGAGGGAGGGCAAAGGGTAACGGCTCACAATTACATAATGTACAGCTGAATTCAAAGACATCTGTGACCTTTTCTGAAGACCACACTGACAGCTTTTATGAGGGATCGCTCTAAGCTATGTGGAAACGACAGAGAAAAGAGGAAGGTTTGAAGCTGAACACTGAAGGAGGAGAGTGAAAAGCAGAGTCGATGGGGTTGAGATGAAGAGTCCCATAGTTTTAGGTGACCTGGGGCTAACAGATCTGTCCCCAGCAGTGCTCTGAATAGACAGAAGACCACTGTCTACCAAAGAGCATGGCTAGTATGGGTGAAGAAGCTCTGCTAAATAGAGCTAAATAGACCATGTAGAGATTTCCACATTTCCACATATGATCACATTCTTCTAGCATCAGTTGGATGGAGTGAGATACAATGGAGAGAAATGTTAGACTTAGCAGACATGGGCGTACAACATGTACGCAAGCCAATATATCACAAGAGCTGTTTTGGAGCCAAGATAAGCTGCACTTGTCATTCAGCCAAAGAACTGCCAGCCCATATTCTAGGAATCAGCAAGGAATCATCACCAAATGTAGTGTGGAGTTGGACGATACGGCCAAAATATAATATCACGATATTGAAGACCTTCCCAGTAGAGGATATGCATCACGATATTTATTTTTTCTGAGCTTTGATAAGTAACTAAACAAGTTCACAAGTTCATATTTCATACAGTGAATTCTATTCAACGTTTCACGTACTGCGCTGCACTAAACCCAACAGGACTAATTATACTCTCTTTTTAATGGAACATGCAGTTGGTCGATATTCTCTAAGCACTGCCAATATCCACAACATGTTCAGGAAAGCATACTACACTGTGATGTGACATAATTTATCCGGATAACAATAAATATACAGGCGTGTGCAAAAGTTTGTGCACCCCGGTCAGCTTTTTTTTTTTTTATTTCTAAATGAAAATAAGTTCACACATCCTAGAGGACACACTTTTGTACATTTAAATGCTCTTCAACATCTTGAAAAAACATCAAAAAGGCCTGTGCAAAAGTTCAACTCAGCAAATAAGAATAAACTGTGCTTAAAATTTGCAGAAAAATGTCAGATTTTAGGTTTGTCCCCTGTAGAGTATGTGTCAACTTATTTTCGTCAAAACATGTCGTTTGACCAGTGTTGTTCAAACATTTGCGCATGATTGCATTCACAGATACAGATATGTAGGAACGTATGTGGGTCCTAATGAAGATCACTGTTCATGACTCGCAAACTCACAGCTACAATCAGTCACATGCATAATGATGAGGAACCAGGGTTAGTTAAATGTGTTTCAGCTGCATTTTCTAGCACAACAAAAGCAAAGCGAATCACGTTGAATATTAGCATGTAAACAGTGCATGAGGTGATTGTTTGCCACAGCTAAATGAAGTTATGTGTAAAGAGCATGTAGCTGTCTATTGCACTCACATTGCATTTAGTCCCATTAAACGATGGATGTCCGGTTCAAATTCATAGCGAGTGTTTAATCTAAGACTATAGATTCACTGGAACCAACATTTGGAATCACTGTTCAACAGTTGGAATCAATTCGCTTGTTAATTGTTTAAAATGGTTCTAATATGCAAGAACTGTGCATCATTGTAGGTTTGCAGGATAAGAAAGGTGGCTAGTAAGTTGTAAATTATAAAGCAATCAGAATTATAAATTGCTAAATGATGAACAAAGCTATAGAAGATTCTAAAATGTCAGAGAAAGATGTAAAAAGTCAAGAATGAAGTTCCAAGAAAATGAATAAATGAATAAAAAATATGGAACACAGATAATTAAATTATACTATTTAGCATTTACTACCTTCTTGGTGCTGAAATATTAATGGATGTTATCATGATATACAAAACAATATCAACATGCACCCTTTGAATGAATGGCAACAAGAAGACATCTATAAACGGTGTACTCACTTTTCCAGCAGCGCAGAGGATCAGTAATAAAGCACCCATAGCAGTGTGCATCCTTACACTCCTTAAAGAATACATTTCCCACAAGTCCTGTTAAGTACCACTTTAACCAGATTAAAAAATAAACAACCAAACAAACAAAGAGAGAATCTAAGTATTAATCCGGCAAAAATGTCAAGCCAGCACGCAGCAAGCAGTTTCAGCACTCCACTGACTGACTGACCGGCTGTCTTTGTATCGGCCTCTTTCACCTCTTGGTCAGTGAATTGAGTCACAGGTTAGAAATCCAGAGTTAAATCCAAGGAGAGCTGGGGAGAGTGTATAGCTCATAGAGCTCAGTTCAGTTTTATGGAGGATCAGAGCTGGAGCAGGTCACCTTATACTGAGCGAGAGAGAGAGAGAGAGGGAGAGAGAGAGAGAGAGACCCCCTCTGACATAAGCACACAGAGAGCAAGGAAGCAGAGGGGTAAAAGGCATGCACACACACTTCACCGTAAGGTGTCATAGTGTTAAGAAGGAAACATGTGCACTACAGACCAAAAGCACAATAGAAGTAAGTGATTTCTTAAAATGTTGAACAAATTTATGAAATATTTCATATTTATCTGTTAGCTCCCTTGAAGAACACTTACAGTCAACAACTGTTGCACTTTTTACAGTGTTCTACTCTTTGTTATGTCTTGAAAAAGTAGCATATTCATGTTTATTTTTTACAAACTTAGTCAGGCCCATCATCAGGGGTTCATTTAGTGGTGCAATGTCCCACCAACCAATCATCCTGCCCCGCAAAACCCACTACTTTTTGTTAATGCTGTTATAAATGCATGGCAAAATGCATTCCAATTGAAACTAAATGTTGTATGCGTTTAAATAGATATTACTGCAAACATGCATTCATGCGCTCCTTCTGGTGTAGATTCATGGTGACTTGCATGCTAATAGCACTCCCTGCTGGAGGAACTTTAGATTGCAAGTGCTTTCCAAAGCCATTCCCCTTATGTTTTATATATTAAAATGAATTCTGTTGTCACAACAGTCACTCTGGGGTTCAGTGATTACACATACAAAACACATTTGTTTTGTTCAGAGGAAGCTTCTCTACTTCTAAGGCTACGTTCACATTACCAGGTTGAAGTGGCACAAATCCCTTTTTTTTGCCCTAATGTGACGCAGGTCTGATGTTTTCAGGGCTGTGTGGACACGCAAATCTGATCTTTTCAGACCTGAGCCACTTTCATATGTGGTCCTAGATCGGATACATATCCGATTCATGGCTATGTAACCTTAATGTGAAGCTCAGATCGGAATTCATGTGCCTCTTTTCCACTGCGCGTGCTCCATCATTCAACGTCACCATGGCAGCAGCGCTGAACAGAAGTCTGTAAACGGCGAAAAAGCAACACATCTCACCTTTTTCACCTTCGTCTCGCTCTAATAATGAAGCTGAGAGCTGATGAGAGTTAATTTTTTTCTCAACGAAGCTCGTTCTGCTCGTTAGTTTGTGCTGATGACGTTACTGAGTAGGATGTGCCATGCGGGTCATTTCAGGATGCCAGTTCGTTCACATTAATGACAGATTTACCTAAAGGAGTGTGAACCATCATGTCAGAGAGATCGGATTTGAGCAACAAACTAGATTTGAGCAATGAGGCTTGTAATGTGAACGTAGCCTAAAAGTTGAGCTAGCTGCTCTAGAGTAATACCCAGTCACTTTAGCTTGGTTGTTTTACTGCAGCGAGTCACACTGAATTAAGTTTCAAAGCGTGCCTGCAGTTATTTTCAGTTTGATGCACTCAAGCTAAACTTAACATAAAGTAAGACAGTTCTTAGTTAGAACTAATAGGCAGCTATGTTGGCATGCTCTCACATTCTTTTGGAGGTGAACCCCAATTTCTCAACACATTTAGAATGCTGTTTAACGGTAAAGTGGTCCTCCCCAGTTCACCTCTCTGGTTCTCTGCCAGTTTCTCAATACGTCGAATATCACCTTTTAAGCATCGCCATCAGGTTGCCCGACAATCATCAGTGGTATTTGATGACGTCGCTCCGGCCTAGTTTGCATGCGTCAGTCATTCTGTATTGGTTGCATTATAGGGATGTGCTGTATGTTGTGGGAAGATAACTTCCTAAATGGGTAGACCTTTGGTGCACTGCTGTCCCTTGCCATTCTTGATTTAGATCTGGCCTCTGGCCTGGACTTTGTGTTGCTTCCATACATTTGGCCTGTAGAGTATATAGTAAACTGAATTAATAACGGACTAACTGTGTTGTTCCTACACTTGGAAAAGCACATGACAACATGCAGCTCCCAGCCACTGATATTTTTCCAAGAATGAACTGCAGTGGAAGGGCTGCTCTTTTCCAGTGTCCAAAAACATGTGTGAGTGTGTTATAGTGGAAAAACTGCGGAGGGAACTCCGCTCTGTGAGTGCTTTTCCTTTATAATAGGAAGCGCTGATGCAGATGGAGAAGAAAACCCCCATAAACAACTCTGCACAGGTTCTCCACAAATGCACAGCACAATCCAACATCCAGAGCTCCTTCCCCTTCCATACACACACACACACATACACACACACACACACACACACACACACTGCGCTATCCTCACACACCTTCTGCTGTGAGGTTTTCCTGTCAGGCTGCAGAACTCCCTGCAAGCTTTTCCTCATGGCAGGCCGTGTTCCAGGAAAGCCCTGGCCGTTCCCATGTTTTTAGAGGAAAAACCAAACATTCCCATTGTCATCTCTGAAGCACTTGAAAGGTGCTTTCTCAGACTTTGGGGCAGAGGTCAGTCCGGGCCTCAGGTCAGCCTTAACAACGCCCAGAACAGGAACGGAGCACCTTCTGAGCAGGAGGACCCCAGGAAGAGCAGAATGAGAGCCTGATGAGCCACAACACTGGACACATCCTGTCAGACAGTGTTATGAAACAACATGTGTGAGCTAAATGCTGCGACCACATCTCGTACACTACAGTACACTGCTGGTAGAAGACATACCACACATTTTCTAAGCCCATTATTCTTCTGGGTCACGGGGGGGAGCTGGAGCCTATCCCAGCAGTCATTGGGTGGAAGGCAGGATACACCCTGGACAGGTCACCAATCCATCGCAGGGCAGACAGACAGACATATACATTCACACACACACTCACACCTAGGGGCAATCTAGCATGTCCAGTTGGCCTGACTGCATGTCTTTGGACTGTGGGAGGAAACCCACACAGATATGGGGAGAACATGCAAACTTCACACAGAAAGGACCCTGGTCGCTCGGCCAGGAATCAAACCCAGGCCCTTCTTGCTGTGAGGTGACAGCACTACCCATTATTCTGCTTATTCAGATTATTCAGATTATTCTGTTGCTCAGGTTTTAAAAGGTTGTTCTTATTTAAACCATGATATACGTTAGTAGTGGAAGTTCGTGGTTTGAATTGAGGAAATTGAAGAACATTGACATAACTGTGCCATTAAACCTGTTATACTGTTCTCATATGCTGTCATGTCCAGTAGTATATCAGTAGCATGATACCATTACCAGTAACTATCATGAGAGTTGTTATTATGTATGATGTCATGATGGCAGTCAACTGCTAAGTCAACTGGAGTAGACTTAGCATTAAATTATTAATTATTATCATTAAATATCAAACGTTACGTCGTCTGTCCTGACAACAGATTTTATCCAAATTACCTGCAGTGAAAGGGCTGTTTATTTGATGAAAACATTATTATATGTTATCCACAAATGATAGAGTGGGTGGTAGCATTTTGGCTGGTCATTGTGAGCTAATGTATCAACCCAAGCTGTGAATCTGGTACTGGCTGACGCAATGGGCAGTGCTCTGTAGAGTTCATTACATTTTTGCATGACCAGTGTCAAAATCTTTATACACGAATCATGTGAAGATGGACAGCACTGGGAAGAACCCCCAAAAACCAAGGTGGCACTGAGAAGGCTTAAGGAGGATGAGGACATATACGAGCAGATGGGCAGTGTGAAATGCTGACCTTGACTTTCACAGTCAGCATTACTTTTTTAGATGTTAACTGTCATGATTTGGTCACATTTAAGATAAAAGCTTTTACCAGTTTTCATTTTATCACAAGCTACCCACTTTGGTTATCTCAGCGTAGCATATAAATAAGATTAAGAAATGAAAAGGAAAACAAATGCATGGGTAAAAGTAACTTTGCAATGCTGTATTTTAATGTGTAGCAGGAGAAGCCACTGCTGCTGAATGTAAGGCCCTGCAGAAGGTGATGAAAACTGCCCATCACACCACCGCAGCTGCCCTCCCACCCATACAGGACATCTATAACAACAGATGTCAGAGGAAAGCCGTCAGGAAAGAGGTACCAGGACATCCGAGCCAAAACCACCAGATTCAAGAACAGTTTTTACCCACAAGCTGTTAAACCGGTCACACCAGTAAAATGAGCACATAAACTACGGACTGTTACTGACCTAAACCCTGATCCGCCCAGTGTACTCAGCATATCTACACACTGAGCTCCACAAGCTCATGGGACTGTATGCTCACTGCACTTTAACTGGAACTCACTATACTTAAACACTTAACACCATGCTTGAACATTTGAATTGAAGTACAGTTCTGGGTGGGCTGGTCTGCATCACGTAACCCCCTTCTAAAAACTAATCCCACACTATCCCTGCTCTCTACCAGACAAGAGTCCAAAACCATGTACAGAAAGCTCCATGAGCAGAGGCCTCCCATCAGCAGCACTCCTCTGTGTCTTCAGATGCACCATGCATTAGAGCTCCTGATGGGCCGGAGGGCGGAGGACGGTGGTCCAAATTCCACACATTCCTGCCCCACAAAAGCAGGATGTGTGTGCATGCCTTCTCACACCGCACAACGGCAGAGAGGAGGGGCAGTGTGTGTGTGGGTAAGAGAACGAGACAGAGAGAGAGAGAGGGAGAAAAGGAAAGAGTAACGGGGGTGTTAAGAGTGTTTGGCATTCGGACGCTCTGGCTCAATCCCAGCCATTGTTAATATTCCAGACAAACATTTCCACCAGCGGGGGTCAAAGTGGGCAAGGCTACACACCATCACACATCAACAGGTTGAGCTACACTCTCCCACATCCAGCAGCCCAACCTGCTCTACGGCTACAACGTAGCAGCATGTAATCACTGTCATAAGAAAGACTCTCTCAGCTGTTATTGTCAGACTGTTAAATGTACAAAAGTACAGATTCATACTGGATTAAAATCACTCCACAGTTATTACTGTCAGACTGTAAAAACTACACACACTGCAGATTCATACTGGATTAAAATCGCTCCTCAATTATTACCGTCAGACTGTAAAACTACACAGACTGCAGATTCATACTGGATTAAAATCACTCCACAATTATTACTGTCAGACTGT